CGTCCACCTGTATCCGAGTCTAGCATGTGCACATGCTAGCCTGATAGGTCCAAAAATCAGTGATATGTTGGCTAAAGAAAGAATATAATGGCAGAGGACGACCTGGCCCTCCGCAGCTGCTTGCAGTTCGTGATGCTTACCGCGCAGTCCACAAGCTCCTTACTCAGTGAGACAGGGCACGGCCCTAGGGCGCACTGTCATTTTTCTTGCTTGCTCCGCTGATGGTAACGCGGCATGTCGGTAGCAGTATGCTTGGGGTCCGGGGATATCGCGAGCTTCGACTACCACAGCCAGCTGTTGTCTGTTCTTCCAGAGTCCCAGGAAAGGCAGAGAGTCAGTGACGGCTATAGTCTCGGCAGCATACCGAAAGGATGGTCGAGCTGCATTACCATGGGCTGGTGTGGAAGCTGGGACGACGAGATGTTCGAGCGCTTACCTTCGTCCGTCGCGCCATCATCCAACACTTTAGGGCAGACGTCTTTGTACTTCGGCAGACGCCTCTTGAGCTTGAGCTTGAACATCCACACGAGTTTGCCTTGGAGTGCTGCTCTTCGGTGCATTAATCTAATTTTAGTCCAGTAATGACATAGGTGTGTGTCCCGCATACAAATTTGCACATTGTAGCTTGAATAACCAATATATAATTTCTGGCATACCGTAGTGACCCCTAAAATGTGTGCGCTGCCGCTGGATACTACCAGGCACTCCTGAGCCTCTACGCGTGCGCTACCTGACAAGGGCAGATGCGGTGGCTCAGGGTAGCAAGCGCCCTCGCTACATAGTCAGACGCTGCTTCCTGATGCGAGTACTGTGAGAAGGCTGCCCTTCGAGAAAAAAAAAATGAGACTTGAACGCGCATCCTGCACCCTCATCATGCTCGACCCCAGGCTTCCCTGCTAATATCATTCAAAAATTTTATGCGGAGGCGCCAAGGTCACTAGTACCGCCTAGCTCTCAGGTGTCTGCCTGAGGGTCATGCCACATTTTGTGTGTTAAAATCAATGTTAGGTTAGACAATATGAGTGATCTGGTAGTATGCGCCTGCAGACCTAAGTTATGTTCCCTTTGCATCTTGAGGGAACGGCCTACGCGTATAAAAGCTGCATCAGGAAACAGCGTCTTGCTACGTAGCAGGGGCGTCTACTACTACCAGCCACCGCGTCTGCGCTCACTGCTTAGTGCATGCGCTCGGCTCAGGAGAGCCTGGTAGCACTTAGCAGCTGCTCATATGCACCACCTAACTCTGGCTAATTTCTTGCGTCGTAGACTAGATTTGTATATAAAAGATATGCTTACAACATTAGTAAATGAAACTAGATAGTATACAAAATTTTGATTATGACACTTGAAGCTTGAAGCTTGAAGTACTGTCTGAAGGTGGTATACTCTTCACTTGCTCAAGTACGGGAATGTCTGCCCTAAATTAACGAATGATGGCACGGCCGATGGTAACAAGCGCCCGAACATCCCTCCTTGTTCCACGTCATCACCGCGCTGCGTCAGCCTACGTCGGCGGTGTCAGTAAACGGGCAATGCGTTGACGCCATACATGTCCTTGCATAAGTTATGTTCTTGCAACATTAACCATACCCTTCTCATTGGCAGCAAGGTTGCATCATCAGCGCGGAGCAGGCGCACAAGCCCCAGAGTAGCGAAACAACGTTTTGCACACAACCAAGAAACCCATGAATGATACAACAAGCATTACAGGCCACAAGAACTAGGGGTGCAATGACCGCGTTGTTGCTGGGATGCTCGCAGCTGTTGCGGGCGGCGCAGCCCTTCACCATTATCTTACTTTTCTCAGCAAAGGATGTGGTGTCTCACGGATTACGGGCAGCGGTGATCGGTAAGTTTGTTAGATCATATAATCTTGATGTTGTTAAGTTGAGCTCGCGTCAGGCAATGGATTATCTGCCTAATCCACTTCCCACTGGCATCTACCATGCACCTCCACCTTATGTCGTGCATTTCGGGGTATGCCGTGTTCTTACACTTACACACGTCAGCCATGGCCCTGCCTAGCTTGCACACGAGCACCGGGTGCGCGTTGCGCTTGAACACGTCCTCAAAACCTCCAGCACAAACGCAGCCATGAGCGCCTGTGGGGCATATCATGAGCTGCTCGTGACGCGCCTCACAGCAAGCTCGCCGCTGCTGCACGGGTATCGCAAGAAGGGCACCTGATGCGCTGCGTATCCGAGATCACCAGCCGCATGTGCCGCGCTGCTCCTTGCGCCGGACGCATAGCGGTCGTAAGACCCAGGTGAGTAACGCCTCCGCAGATCTTACAATATTATCCTGACTTGCCATACATTGTAGGCCTACCTCCCGTGTCTATCTCCTACCACAGCAGAATGAATCTAGCATAGTATACACCAGCATGTACTGTACAATTGTGCACCTAATATACCTCTTCCGTTAATCTATTCCCTATGAGTGAGTGTGCAAAGCCCAGGAGGCCATCTGCTGGTATTATCTACGGGCGAGCTGCAACAGCACCATGGTATGCTGCTGAATTTATGCAGGCTGCCACGGTGTGCTGCCAAACTTATGCAGGTCGCCACGGGTGCTATGGAGACGTGGCGGAAAACTACTGGTCGCAGGGTAATAGGGGTCAGTTCCACCAGGCTGCTGGAACTACGGAGCTCACGGGGCGCTTCTGGTCCCAGACTTTTTTTCCTGATGTACAGAGGTATGCTTCACTTGATTTGACTTGAATAGTGTTAAGTATGATGTGTGCTGCAGCTGCAAAGCCATTATTTGGATGGCTACAATCTCCGCACTCGTGTCGTATGCACAGACTGTAGGTGAGCGCAATATACCAGAGCTACCTCTTATGCAGCCTGATCATTGCTAGTATTCTCTGCACTGCGTGTGTGTGCAGTGTGGAATCGGAATCATGTCCTGTTCATAATCGTGCTTGTTCTGAGCCTTCCACCCGTGGTTATCAACACCGTAAGTGCAGCATCCTTCCGTAGTGCTGGACTGTCGCACTTAATACTGACGCCCCTTGTAAGTACACCCTGGT